AGAAATCTACTTTTCAAACAAATACAAACCAAACCAAGAAAACTAAATGGGGTTATAAAATAAGATTTCCAATAAGTCCAGATTGTGCTGAATTACTAAATAGCAAGTAAAGTTTTCCTAATTTCATTTTCTGTGGACAAAAAGCGATACGGTCTCATTATGTTACCCAGGCTGGCCCAGAAATCTTGGAATCAATTGATTCTCCTGCCTCAGCCTCCCAGATATTTGGGACTACAGATGCTAGGCTCTTTATTTGGATAAAGAAAAAAGAATTGTGTTTCTCTAGGCAAATGAGAAGTGCTGATTTCCTTATGTTCCCAGAATACATTAAGATGTTAAACAAATCTGAAAATGAAAGAGAAATCTACTTTCAAACAAACAAACAACCAAGAAAACTAAATGGGGTTATAAAATAAGATAGTTCCAATAGCTCCAGATTGTGCTGAATTATAAATAGCAAGTAAAAGTTTTCCTAATTTCATTTTTCTGTGGACAAAGTTTCAAAATTCTCAGATCCATCAAGTCTTTCAGAATTGTCTGCTCTCTACCTTTTCAGTCTCAAACCCCATATTACTCACACTCCCTTTTTTCTAGCCAGGTTTCACTTCCTGACCGTCTTCTGATATGATGTTATAACTCTAAAGTCCTTGCTAATCCAGCTTCTTACCCTAGCCTGGCAAAGCCACTTACTCTCCAAGGATCACAGATGGCCATCTTCATCTGAAAAGCCTTCCCAGGTGTCAATTAGTCTCTCTTCTTCTCTTGTGCCTTCATGATATTCTTTGCATATTCTAATGCACTATGGCACTTGTTGCATTATTTTGGAGAGCACACATCCAGCAAGTTCCACTGGCAGTGTCATAGCCATTTCTCTGCTAGCTAATGGGCTATGGCCATGGCCTCCCCAACAAGTTCTAGGTCTCAGCCCTGACTGCATGGCTCTAAATGTCCTAGCATTTACGTTCTTGTGTATCCCTCCACTTGACTAACAGTATATTGTTTCTGAGATTATAAAATGACTGCAGCTTCCATCTTAGGTGCTTTTGCATACAGTGTCACCTTGACCACCCACTCCTGGGGGAAGTCAGCTGCTGTGTTATGAGGCAGCCCTCTGCCAAAGTCTATGTACTGAGAAACTGAAGCCACCAGTCAATGAAGTTGGAAGTAGATTCTCCTAACTTCCCTGCTTTAAGTTGACTGCAATTTTTGAAAGTCCCTGAACCAGAACCACTCAGTTAACCTGTAACATCATAAGGGTCTGCATCCCTGACCTGTAGACATTCTGTGAGACAGTAAGTCACTAAATTCAGGATAATTTACTACATAGTACTTGGTAGCTCATCACAGGAGCCTGTTCCTTGGATATTCTCTGAGCCTAGGCATAGAACTACTCCTTGTACACAGGTCTGAAGGCTGGACCTATGCGAATAAAAACCAAGACCCTATAACTAGAGAACTAATCTTAAAGGCAACAAAGGCTGGAGCATGACTAAGTTGGTTAAAAGTTGCTGCTTTGCACACGGCCAGTGCCAAACCCCAGTGCCACATCAAAAAAAAGGTACCCTTCAAGAACTCCTGGCTTTGGAGCCAAGTGCAGCAGATTACAACTGTAACCCTAGCTAACTAAAAGACAGAGATTGGGAGGATCTTGGTTCAATGCCAGGCTAGGCAAAAAGTGAGCCCTAATCTCAACCAAAAAGCTGGGCATGGTGGTTCACAACTGAAATCCCTGCTATACAAGAGGCATTGGGAGGAAGATGATGGTCCAAGATTAGCCACAGCAAAAAAAAAAAAAAAAAAAAAGACCCTATCTAAAAAAAAATAGCCTAAAAAGCAAAAAGGGTTGGATACGTGGTTCAAGTGGCAGAGTGCTTGCCTAGAAAGTACAAGCCCCTACATGAGCGTACATATGAAGGAATATGTCAGGGCACAATCAAGATAACCTGCAAACCCATGTTCATGGCAGCACAATTCCCAACAGCCAAAACACGGAATCAGACTTGGTGCCCATCAAGTGATGAATGGATACAGAAGATGGAATGTATATACACAAACACAAAATAAGAGTATTATTCAGTCAAAAAGAATGAAACTAGAGATCATCATGTTAAGTAAAATAAACTGAGCAAGACAAATATCACATTTTTCTCTCAGAAGCAGAATCTAAACATTTAAAAAAAAATCAATCACAGGAGTGTAATAAAGGGACTGTTTGGGGACAGGAACCAGCAGGAGGGGGGATGGTGAAAGTTGAGGGTGAAGGAGATGGTGAATATGTCGAAATACCTTACAGACACATGTGTGAAAATAGAACTGAACCTGATAAAAATTGTTTTTAAAAGGGGGAAAGGAATAATAAAGTATAATAAAGAGGGTGAATTTGATCAAAGTAAACTATATGCATGATGGAAATACGACACTGAAACCCCTTTCTTCAACTGTTATGTATGTTTATATCATACATAGGGGTAAACTGAAGGTGAATTTTACTGACTTATACCACACATACATGCAACTAATCTAAAATGAGATCAGGTAAATGAACTAGAGAATACTAGCAAAAAATTTTATGTAATCTTTACTCACTAACAGCACACATTAAAAGAAAAGTATTTAATGCTTTACTTAGAAATAGACAAATTATCCTCTGCTTTAGTTTCCTAGGGATGTCACAAAGTACTACAAACTATGGCTTAACATCAAAAATTACTGTCTCACAGTTCTGGAAGTTCTAAGTTCAAAATCAAAGTGTCAACAGTGCATGCTCTTCTGAAACCAATAGAAGAGAATCTTTCTTGCCCCTTCTAGCTTTTTGGTGTTGCTGGCAATCTTTGGCACTGCTTGTCTGGAAGGTGCATTATTTCTATCTCCACCTTCATTATCAAATGATCATTCTCTCTTCCTGTGCATTTCTCTCTTCTTAAAAGGGCACCAATTTGGATTAAGAATTTCCCCTAGTCCAATACAACCTCACATTAACTAATCACATGTACCATGACCGTATTGTGGCTCAAGTGGTAGAGCAACTTGCCTAGCAAGTACAAAGCCCTGAGCTCAAACCTAAGAATGGCAAAAAGAAAAAACAAACTTCCATTTCCTCTTTTCTTTAGCACATAATCATAATCACTGGCATAGGCTGCCACCCGAACTTAGTATTTTAACCGTATAGAGATACCATAAGCCCAACTGGCTATTTGTGGTTTAATTTTTTTTTAAACATAAGTCAATGTGGTGTACATTCAAGATCAAAATCACACTTATCCAAATATAACAGTTAAAAAATATGCAATCTTAGTACTGAGAGCTGGACTAGGTCTCCTTTATGTAAGGTCAAAAATAAAATTCACCTGTTCCTAGTAGAGATGTAAACATCTCTTTACTGTTTTCATGGATAGCATTACTCCATCAAACTATTCTTCTTTCACTAAACATTGTATTAACCTTAAGGAGGCACTGGGAAAAGCCCCAAAGGTAGTATTAAAGAGCAACTAGTAAAAAGTATGAATTATGGATATGTTTTAAATGTTTGCTAGAGATTTTTGTTGTAAGACATTAGAACACTAAGTCATAAATACATCAGATATATGTAAAACTAGAAGGTAGAGAAAAAATTATTGATAAATGAATTCTAAATCATAGGACTTAAAATTGTTACGAGAAAAATGAAGTTAACATTTTTTAAGGCATACTAAATAGCAAATCAGGCAGCTAACAGGCAATTTTATATACCTTAATTAGCTCACTAACATCCCTGAGTTGGGAATTTGTTACCCACCGCTTTTAAATAGATAAGAGGTTTTAAAGAAGTTACTTGCCAATGATCTTATATCCAGGCCAATGGTTCTTTCAAAATTACTTTCCTAGTTCTGGTCAACTAGGAAATATAAAATACCTGGGAAGCCAGGGAGGGAAGTGAGACTTGGAGGACATGCATTAGTGGAAAAGACAACCTAGTGACTGTGGTTTTACCAAACTTGAATATGGTTGTACTGATGTTCACATCTTCCTTTAGTTTCACTTTTTCCCTCCCAAGTTAGCATATGTTCAGATTCTCCGTGAAGGATGGCAGAACATGCCACATCAATGTATGCCATTTTGGCATAAGCTAAAAGCACAGAAGGCTGTTCCAAACCTCCCCTTTTCCCCGGAAAGCGTAAGATAAAACTTCCATGGAAAAGATGGTCCACTTATACTAGGACTAGGAGAAAAAAAAACATTATCACCAGAGACAAAAAGTCAAAGCCAAGAGAATTTTATACAAACAGACCTGGTTAAAATAATCACCTTCCTTCAGCCTCCATATACACTGTATTTTAGTTACTTTTCCACAGTTGCCTCTGTTCGGTCTAGTATAAATGCATTTAGGTTTTGCCACTGTCTTTACTTCCTTATGAGGACTCCCATGTCACATGAAAAATAAATTTGTATGTCATTCTCTTGTTAATCTATTTGATGTCAATTTAATCCTCCCGGGCTATCTGAGGACTCTAAGAGGGTAAAGTTTCGCTTCCCATACACTAGTTGCCAGTTATGGGCACAGAGACAAGGCCAGTTAACATGGAGTAACTGTTTATCAGCGATGCTTTTTTGCTGTTTTCCTAGGCCACAAAATCCAAGGAAAGGGGATCAGGGGTTAGGCATCACTCGTTCCCTCTCTCCGAAAAATGGAAAGAACAGGGAGTCGACGTGGTTAAAATCTGCTTATCTAACCGCCACTGGAACCCTGGCAGTCACTCCTGGGAGCAAAGAAACACAGAGCTCCACCAGTGGGTTTCGACAAGCGGAGACCAGCGGGGTCCACCCCGGGTAAAGTGGCTACCACACCAAGGTCCACCGCGTGGCTGACCATCCCGCCCGCCAGCCAGCGCTCACAGCACGTCCAGCCCTGACCCAAGCGCAGCGGGTACGGCGCGCGCAGGTGACGTCAGCGCGCGACCGGTGGACGCTACCATTGTCGGCTCCCCCATCCCAGCGGGACCCAGCCCTGGCAGTGAACTCACCTTTCCGTCCTGGTGGAAAGGGAGGCCAAGCTCGTCTGTGGAAGGCGGGGGACGAGCATAGCCCGTCTCCTCCGCCGCGCCTACCGCGAGCCCCACAGCAGCAGCAGCAACCTCGTAGTCCGGAAAGGGATTGGGGAACGCTCGCTCCTCCATCTCCGCCTCCCCTCCCAAGTGCAGCTTCAGTCTCTTTGACATGGTCTCGCCCATGTCCGCCGCGCTCCCCAGCACCCGCGGCACGGCGAGCGGGCGGGGACAAACCTCCCGCGAGGCGATTCGACTGGAGCGAAGCTCTGGAGCCCGGCTCGCTCGCACCCGTCGCCTCACCGAACCCCCGCGGCCGGGGCCAATGGCTTCCTTTAGGCTGGCGGGGCGTGCAGCTGCGTTGCAGCGGGCGTCTTGCACACCCGCAACCAACCCTTCGGGGAGGAGTGGGAGCTCTGGCCCGTGGGCGCTTAGAGCCCGCTCACGTCCAGCCCCATCGTCCCCGCGGCCCGCAGAGGCAGCCTGGCCGCGGCCGCGCGCACCGCAGGGCTGGAGCCTCGCGTCCGGAGAGGCTCCTGGTGTCGCCGCGCCTCGCTCCTCTCCTTCGGCGGAGCTCCTGTAAAGAAGAGGTCGCTGTCATTCGAGGTGTGTGCGCTTGGCAGACCAGGGAAAGCGCATCCCTAGACGCGCAGTTTCACCAGCCTCGCGGTGCCGCCCATGTCCTCGGCCTGTGGGGGTGCGCCAGCCACGCAATAACAGCGGTTTAATTTGATATTTAAAAAAAAATTATCTTCTAAAGAAAAGAATTTCAAAGCAGCTTTAAGCACTGCAAGGAAAGTCTCCCGAGGGAATGGGGGTGAGGTTGGGGGGGGTGGAGATACAGCCCCTCCCATTCCTTACGGTTGGGAGGGGGTGTCTGGAGGAGGAGTCACAGGCCTCTTTTTGTTTTATTTCATTCCCTTTGTCTTGAATAAATGGACATCTTGAACAAGAAGAGTTGTGATGTGAAAGCATACTTGATCATCTAAATATTTTATTGGCCAAATAAATCCCTTCAAGAATATAATTGGCCAGGAGCATAACACGGATCACAAAAGATACACAAGCAAATAGATCTTTGCATTTATATAATCGCAATATATGATTTCATAGTCTTTATTGGTTCTCCGTTCTTCATGCTATTAATTTATAACAAAATTGTAATGATTTCTCCTCCTTGAGGGAAATATGTTATTTCAGTTTTCTTCCATTTAACAAACATTGGTGCTACGTGAGTGAAAAAAATAGGTATTTTTCCTGCTGCCTCAATATCTTCACCAGTAGGCTGTGAGTCCCTGGACCAGGTGATCAGTAGCACCAGTGACAAGGCTGACTCCTGCCACAAGTTTCCCTTCTTGCCCTTTTCCTGATTGTGATCTGGTGACAAAGAGTCTTTGCTTGACAAAACTTCATTCAGACTAAACCTTTGTCTCGGTCTCCCAACTCCTAGGACTATGGGTGTGTATCAGGACACCTGACACCACTTAGTAATTTTCCATTCACTGACTCCCACCTTGTTCCTTGGCCATAAATACCCACTTGAGGTATTTATAATTGAGTCTAATCTCTCTCCACCAGTAAAAAGTCCCAACGCCATGGTCCCTAATTGAGATGATCCTGCATGAAATCTGCCTTACCAAGTTTTAACAGCTGGCATTAAGTACATTTTTCATTAATATTAGTGATAGACACCAGTGGAGGCGCCTTGTGCTTTCACTTGTGCACTCCATCCTAAGCCCCAATAAAAGCACTTGAGCCTTCACTATCTCTCTGCTCCCTTGGTGCTTCCAATCTAGTCCTTTCATGACATGTATTGACTATCTTTCTGAGAACTGTTAAGTACATATAATAAGCTTTTTTCTGTACCTGTCCTGTCCTGCCTCTTGAGGTCACACCTGCCTGGCCACTGCAGAGCAGGATATTAAGCCTTAGTTCAATCAGGAGAAAGTCATAGGAAAAGAGAAAGTGATTGCATTAAGTGAAGGAACTGCTTCACTGGCAACTGTACATTCTACCACCAGGCACACAGGGCCTTGGAGGAATCTGGTGGTTCATGGTCATACCTGTGAGGGTAGTGGAGTCAAATGGTGCCTTCAAAGGCAGAACTCGGGGAGCAAATGCTTCATGAACATCAGAAACATACCATGAGAACCCCCATAAATATTTGTGAGAGGGGCAGTTTTCAAAGAGTGAACCAGTAAAATATGAGTTACTGCTGTTCATATGTTTGTCCACATGCTGGTGGGATCTTCTGTACAGAAAGCAGTGGTAGAGATAAGATCTTTCCCACAAAAGATAGAGTATTTTTCCAAAAAAGTGCCTTCTCCACTCAGATGGCTGCTGCTTCTGATGCAGCTTGAATTTCATTTGGGACAGAGCTTCCATTTATAGAAATGAGCTGGCTAGGTTAACCATCTGATTTCCTGTGTAGATAATGGAGCAGAAACATTCCCCTTGTCTTCCACCTGTCCATCCTCTCATAGGCTTGCTGTGATTTCCTATTGGAAATCTATGTTTTTCCTATTGGAAAAACATCCTAGTTGATATTTTTACTGCTAGGCTTCCAACTGGACCACGGAGGCAGGATTTGACTCTATTGGAGCCACTCCTATTCGTCCAGATGTGAAGAGACTAGGTTTTGTTTGAGAGGACACTCGGATGGTTAAGGAAGACTGTCTCTGCCTCATGGAGACATGTCTGGAGCTAAGCTTGAAAGTGGGCATGTTATGAGGAAAACCTTGTGCCTTTTAACCACATTATTTGTGTACATGTTATCTTGATCTATTTTTCCCTTGATCCTTTAGAAAATATTACTCTAACTTTCAGACTGCTCTCACATGTATCACAGGAATTTAGCCCATCTTGGGTGAGAGCATTAAAGGGAGACAGCTGTGGCCAGTCTACAGGCAGCATGAGGGTGGCAGTAGAAATTAATGATTAGCATCTCCAAAAGGCAGCAAATTTTGAGGAATAGAAGTTGAAGGCATAAAGTTTAGTTGCTCTCCCATAAGGTGATTCTTTATTAATTTGAATGTTTGAGGAGTCTGTCCTAATCATTTAAAGGATAAAGTAGGTTTGCTTTAACCTACCTAACAAGTGGTTTTGTTGAGGAAGGCCGTAAATTGTTTGGTTCTTTAAAAGATCCAAAGAGAAGGATACAAAAAACAGAGGGTTCCACATCTGGATTTTACGCAGGAGAAATGAAAGCATATGCCAATCATAAACTTGTACATGAATGTTCATAACAGCATTATTCATAGTAGCTAAAAGGCATAAACAACCCACATACCCCTCAGATGATGACTGGAAAAAATGTGTATTTACACAAAGGAATAGTAATAAGTAGTAAAAAGGAAGAAAGTATCAATACATATTGCAGTATGTATGAACCTTGAAAGCGTGTTAGGAAAAGAAGCCAATAACAAAAGGAAAAATAATATCTGATCCCATTCATATGAAATGTCCAGAATAAGCAAATCCATTGAGACAGACACACTAGTTTTCTCCAGGAGCTGGGACGGGGAGGAAATGAGGTATGACTGCTTAACGGGTTAGGGGATTACTTAATGCATAAGGTAATGAAAATGTTCTGAGACTAGATAATAGTAATGGATGCATAATATTATAAATGATCTAAATGCCACTGGATTGCATACTTTAAAATATCTAAGATTATGAATTTTATGTTTTGCCACAAAAATTGAAGTATTAATGCATGCTATAATATAGATGAACCTTGAAAACACTGTTGTGTGAATGAAGCCAGTCACAGAAGATCACAGGTGCATAATTGTACTTATGTGAAGTGTCCCCAATAGGTTAATCTGCAAAGATAAAAGTTTAGTCATTGTCTGGGGCTGAGGGAGGAAGAATTGGATACTGATGGCTAGGAAGCATGAAGTTTCTTTTCATAGTGATGAAAATGTGCTAAAATTGGTTGTGGTAACAGTTGCATGACTCTGCAGATACACTAAAAATGTTGATTGGCAGACTTTAAATGAGTGAAATATATGGCATATGGATTATATCTCAAAGCACAAAAGATTGACAAATGGATGATCAATACTTGGATAGCAATTTTATTTGTCACCTTTCCATCATTGTGACAAAATACCTGAAATAAGCAACTTAAAAGAACCCATCATTTGGGATCATGGTTTCAGAGATTTCAGTCCATAGTCACTTTGCCCAATCCCTTTGAGCCTGTGGCAAAGCAAAACATAGTGACACAGAGCCATCTTCATAAAAATTATATAGTTTCTTTTCTCTCCTTAATATTGTAGAGATTCTTGCTTATACTTCTTTATAGGATAATATTTTAATGAAATTTCATAGATAGGGCTGTAAAAATAAGAGGATAAAATCCTATCTGCTAAAAAAAAGGAAGGAGGGAAAGAAGGAAGAAAGGAAGGGAGGGAGGTAAGTTAGGAGTGAGGGGAAAAAAGTGAAATAAAGATGAGGGGACAGAATGTCAGGGGATGAAAGTATTTCAATCGGGTTTCTGAAATCACTAAGTTCTTCTCAGTGAGACCAGTTGGGATCCCATCAGCAAATCTTGTGTAATTGTATTTTCTAATGAGCATTAACATTTTATTCCTACAAGTAACCTAAGTTTTAGATGTTAATCTCTCATATACACAGTTTTAGATCTTTTGCCTCACCATCTGTCAGGGAAAGAATTGCAGGGGTAGGGCTGACTCATAGAGTGGTGATTTCATTTAGTCTTGCATTATTTACCTTGCAAAATGAGTATCATGGACATTCTATCAGCTTGGGCAAAAGGCCTGTTACTATTATTTTAGTAAACTTTATTTTCACAAATTCGCTTCTTTTTTTGTTTTGCAGTACTAGGGCTTGACGTCAGGGCCTTGGCCTGTTCAAACTTCTGGGGCATATAGGTTTAACCCCAGCTCTCCGCTGTCACAACCTAAAAAGCAATAAACAGCAACAGCTCTTCCCAGGTTCACTCTTGGCCCCTAAATGGAGGCTAGAGTCTTCCTCCCCCATTCCCTGCTGCCTCTCCCTCATTTTCACTGCTCTATCTTTCCCACCCTTTCCTTCCATTTCTTTCTTTGACGGCTCCATCAGGGACCAGTCCCCACTGCTGGACCCTCCATCCTACACTAGTCTTCAATTTTGGTGAGTTTTCCCCTTCATCCGTGTTTCTCTCCGGTCCTACTGTGGATGTCCTACTGTGGACCACAGA